GCACCTAGCCACGCTACAAGCTTAAGTGGGCCCAAGCCACGCAAATGCCCGGGGCTTGCTGAGTGGGTTGTGGTATGGATGGTTACGAGCACTCACAGGGCCCATTGAGGGTTCAAGGAATGAAAGTTTTAGGCCACTTGGGAGCACTAAAACTCAAGCCCATTCCTCGGGCCCAAATACATGGGTTAGCATGAGAGAGGGTAAAATGGGATCCAATGCCTTAGGAGAATATCCCGTAGACTGTTGTAGCACTTAGGCAATCCCACGTTAGTTAAAACGCCCAAAACAAATAGGCTATTTCCAGCAACTTGACGAAAACATGCGGGCTGTTGGAAAAAGGAGTACCAATAACCCAATACCTGTGAACGAAGCCCAGCCCAGGTCCTTGTTAAAAAATCTCGCATCGTGTTCCACCCTTGACTAAGCTCCACAAACAGCCAACAAGAAGCCATTGCAAGAACCAAAGGAAATCCATGTGTGTGGGAGGAATACCTAGTGGACAAACAACTTTATCCATTCTCTTTTTCCTCTGCAAACTCTGATTTGAAAACCAAGGGAGAAAGAAGGTGGCGCCTCATCCCTACGAGGAGGTCCAGCCACATGAAACCTTGGAACCCCAAAAACCCTTTGACCCAGGCACTCTGGTTGAAGAGATTTCACAAGAAGGGGGGTAATTGGAAAGAAGCAAAGGAAAAGTGGGAATGGAGGATCGACGAAATTAGGGTTCCAAATGCCTATAAAAGAGAGCTTCCTCTACCTAGAAAGGGACACCATTCCAGAGCACGACTAAGCTTTGTCAAGCAAACTGAAATTTACTCTAGACACCCCATCTTTTACTTCCATCGTTGTTTTCTCTCTTTCTGAGATAGAAATCCTCCTAATTTTCCCTTCTCCACTATGAACCTTTTCCTTCTGAAAGAAATTCATGTTTTTATATCTCTCTCAAATTGCTAAACTTGTGAATGCTTAGCTCTCATGCCACAAGCTCCTCAAGCCAAGCCACTTATCAATTGTTTACGTTCATCTGGTTATTAGTGAAAAGAACCTAAAAGTGTTTTCTAAGGTTTCAGCGAATCTTTCAAAACTCTTTTGGGAGCCTGGTCCTTAAACTCAGGCATCGGGGGTTTTTGTTTGTTTTCTTCTTACAGCAGCCCAAACTCATTTGTCAGGCTGCTGGAACAAAAAGGCCCCTACACTAACTTAGTACACAGTGTTCATCTTACACACAACATACCATCAACAGAAGCAAAAATATCAATACATAGAATAGAAGGGTTTGAACTTTGAACAATGGAAAATTGGCAAAGAAACACACAATGGAAATGGACAGTTAAGGCCACGTTTGGAAGGTGAAATTAAACACGACAAATTTCGGTTAAAATGGCGCCACGTCCGATGTTTAGGGAACTTAACAATGACGAGATCGGACTATTCAATTGGACAACTGCTCCACAGACGAGTTCGAAACGAAGCTTAAGTGGGTCTCTATGGGCACAATAATATCTCGTACCGTGTTCGAAACAAGGCTGAAGTGGGTATTATTTAGGCCTCAAACCAGCTTCGTTTTATTTGGTGGAAAAGGCCTCAGACCAGTAATACAGCCTTAGACAAATGCGGGCCTCATGTTCATCCGGCCCAATATCACCAATTGTTTGTGACCAACGGAAAGACCGAAAACCTACTAGAACGACGTCGTCTGCTCAAATCTTCCCTTTATAAATACAGCCAGAAAAAACCCTACCCAAACCCTAGGAGAGCGAAAATGAAGTACAATCCCCGCGTCACCAGCTCTAGGCGGAAGAACCGCAAGGCTCACTTCACCGCGCCGTCGAGCGTGCGGCGGGTGTTGATGAGCGCGCCCCTCTCCTCAGACCTCCGCGCCAAGCACAACGCCCGATCCATGCCGGTGCGCAAGGACGACGAGGTCCAGGTGGTGCGCGGGACCTATAAGGGCCGCGAAGGCAAGGTTGTCCAGGTGTATCGCCGCAAGTGGGTCATCCACATCGAGCGGATCACCCGAGAGAAGGTCAACGGTTCCACGGTCAACGTCGGCATCAACCCATCCAAGGTGGTCATCACCAAGCTCAGGATCGACAAGGACCGCAAGTCTCTGCTCGACCGCAAGGCCAAGGGTCGCGCCGCTGCGGACAAGGACAAGGGCACCAAGTTCACAGCTGAGGATATCATGCAGAACGTTGATTGATTTCATTTTGGTTTGTGTTTTTGTTAGTAAGATTAGCGACAGTCAAATGAGCTTTTATTGTAAGCACCTGAATTTTCATTATGCATTGATGGATTTGGCGTTTAATGATCTCTTTGAGGATCTTTTGAGACATGGATTTTGCCCTCTTTTTCTATGCTATGGTATTCCTGGAAATAGTTTTTGGATTTATTTATTTATTTATGCCTATATTATATGCTTTGATTTTGATTTTGATTTTGATTGATTGCTGGTTTTTGATTTTTCTGCTGATAGTTTTTTTATTTGCATCTTACATATGTTATTCCAAATGAAGGGTAGTATATTTATTGTGTTCAATAGCAGTGTTATATGCATAAATAAAGGCCTCGTTATTGCATATGGACTAGGGTTTTTACTGCATTGATGATTTTGCCTTTCGATTGAGATTTTGGTTACTCTAGGACTTGATTTGACATTGGTTTAGCTACTGTAGAATTCAGATAGATATCTTGACTCCGAATTGTGACGTTCATTCGTTTACTTTTATTTTAGTATGATATTGAGCTGTCATTACATTATGTGCAGTAAATCCGTGATGTGATGTATGTGGGTTTAATTGTTCTTATGGATACTGTAGAATAATAATGTGTAAGGTGTTTCAGTTTTTGGAGCCATCAAAGGTTATTTTTCATGCTCTGTTCTCTGCGTTACAGTTGGTTCTAAGTTTGTCCAAGAAACTCGTCTCTTCCGTCTTAGTAAGATTATACATTACTCACTTGAAGTGGTTGATTACTTTCTCGTTTCTTCTATCTTAGTAAAATTATACATGTCTTGTGGCATGTTCCTATTACTGTCAAATGATGAGTGCTTTATGCTCTTGAAAATTTAAACAAAATTTGTCTTTGCGGTGAGCATTTCTTTTTAGTCTCGTGGATTCGTTGTAGCTTCAAAATGATCTTGAATTAGCAAATCTTGGTACTTTATAATCAGTCTGCATAAGTAATTGTGTTTGCTTTTCTCAATCTGTAAGTATTTCTCACCTCTCTATCTCAGTCTCACTCATCGATGAGAATGATAAGAAGTAGTTTCGCCTAGTGGTCTTAGGATTGGAGAATAACACTGATTTATGTGCCATTGATGCGTTGTATGTTTTGCCTTCTGAAACTCATTGTTTAGTTTTCACCTCTGTTATTGCGCTTGTATCATATAATATTCAGTTCCCTGTTGGATCATTTCCTTGCTGTTTATTGAGATCCTAACTTGGTATGATTTGTTTTCTTTTCATCCCAGCTTTTTGGCATTTTTGTTGCATTCTCAGACTAAATTCAACTTTTAGTAGGATTATATTATTCTAGTCAAGTAACAGATCCTACTACTCATTTCTTTCTAGCTCTCTCGTTCAACCCTCTACTTAAATTTGCCTAGTTCACCCATCTTATACTCCGTACATATGTCCCACTCTGCAAATCCCTTGCTCTCAGTCAGCTAGGCACAGCTTACGGCTGACAGCTGATCAGACTGTGTAGATGGCTCACGGCCGCCAAGGATAAAATAGATGTATTATGAAATTTGAACATGCATTGTGCACGGCAGTTTGCAACTCAACTTTCCCTAGCTATTCTGAGCAAATTGCTTTGAGTCTTCACCTAACACTTGAAACGATGACCACAAAGAGTTTTAACTTGTATCAGTACCCTAGTTTATTTATTCATTAATTATTATTGTATTTTTTAAAGTATCCTATTTGCAGATTCTTGCTTCTTAGGATGTGGCTGAGTTTGTTTATTGGTTCTGAATGTTGTTTTATGTCCTAACTTTGTACCTCTCGTTCGACTTTTGGCATAGTTTCTTGTAGTAGCCTTTCGCCTTGTTTGCTGGGATTTTTTCTCCATGTTCTTGTAGCCGTTTCCTTCTTATTGAAAAGAAAATTTCCAAAACAGTTGAGATCAGTAAAACTTTTATTTATTTTGCGAAAGGATTGTTTATTGGTTCTGAATGTTGTTTTATGTCCTAACTTTGTACCTCTCGTTCGACTTTTGGCATAGTTTCTTGTAGTAGCCTTTTGCCTTGTTTGCTGGGATTTTTTCTCCATGTTCTTGTAGCCGTTTCCTTCTTATTGAAAAGAAAATTTCCAAAACAGTTGAGATCAGTAAAACTTTTATTTATTTTGCGAAAGGATGGCTGGTGTAAGTTACAACCCAACGAAGTAAGGACTTGAGGGTGAGCCTAACCAAATTCTAGGTCGGGCTTAGGTTTAGTCGAATTTGACCTTGGCAAGCTAATTGTTAAAGGGATAAAAAGGGCAAGAATAAAAGAGTAATTATACTGCATTCCCAAACGTAATTTTATCTGGTATGCATATATTGTTACATCAACTCAAATATGCCTAGCGCCAAGTTTACTGTCATTACATGATGAACTTGGCCCAAAAGCCGTTTAAAATCGAGCTAAAGATTCAGCGCATGAAATATGCTGATGCCACATAATTGAGATAAAGGCCTTATGAGAAACTAGAAAGAAACTAACCACAACTGGGGCAACGTATAGTTTGTTGGCATGATCAATTTTGCATTTATAAAAACCATTGGAGTTACTCTCGGCAGGTGGATTCTTTCAAACAGACAAGTGGCATATCACCTGGCACAACATATGTAAAAAAATTCTCTATCAATCAGAATTCTAAGGTTTCTCCATACAAGGAGACTAGAATATGCAACGACTTAGCGACCTACAGTTATAAGCCAAAAGAATATAGAGAAAAAGAACAAAAGAAGACCACGGTAGAGCCCGAGCATCAAACAATCCATCCACATTGATCAAGGACCAGGAAACATGTTTCTGTGGAAACTAATTATTAAGTGCTCCTCTCGAGAGCCAGCCAAAAAATTGAACCAGGTATTACGTTCCAGCAAGGCATCATTAATGCCTAAAAATCACGGCTTGAGGGCAATGGCCACTCCAAACCTGGGATTTTTGTCCAGGGCCTTGGTGTCGATCTCCCCAGATATTGTCAGCAACGACTTTGGTATGACCTCATGCTGCAGGAGGGCCCCCAGCTTTCCATGATTGTTGAGCTTAGCTTTCACTACAGTCAGAAGATCAATAGCATATGACCCTCCCACTGTGAAAGTGTTCTCGTTTGTGGAAAACTTTCTAGTGATCTCTCCCACAGCAGCAGTCCTCTTCAACACATCCAGAAAATGCACATAAGATGCTCTTATACTGTCTCCCTTGTCACCCCTGAGAGAGAGAGGATTTCAGAATATTAAGACTAGAAAAGTTCCAACCATTCTAAATACTTACAACAAAAGAGAAAGAAACAAAAGTTGCTTACGATAACAGAGTTTAAACTATTGTCTTTGATTATGGTTATGGTACAAACACTTACAGAATTATTGAAGCAGACTGGTCTGGTTTGTTCACGCTAATTCCAGCAGTGTACTTTGTAAAGTTTCCAGAAGTGGTGTCATAACCCCCTTCTGCACCAAATGCAATGGTTGGGGTACCAATTGTGGCTGAAAAATCAATGGCTGGCGATTGATTCAAGGCAACGGCTGTAGTGAAGGTTGCATGGTCATGGAAGTACTGAACCTCCAACTACAAAATAACGCGAACATGCGAACTCAGGCTTCCTTCCAACACTAGCTAATAATTTATTAATTAATTTTAATTTTTAAAATGACTAAAACTTCTTAGTTATTTTATATGACTAATTTGTAGTTTTAAAAAACGACCATACAATTAATAAACACTTTAATGAAAAATACTTTGAAGTGACTAATACTTTGATTCATATTCACTTCGATTTCAAATTAGCAAACATGTCATAAAAGTTTCAAGACAGGGTGACGTATAATGACACATCATTACTAAAGTTGGGAGACGTAATACGTGCAATAGTAAATATAAAAGGGAGATTCACTATTATACCAAATATAGGAGCCCAAATTATACAAAATAAAACTAATATAAAATAGACTTTAGAAACACACCCAAAGCCCATTTATAACACAACAAAAAGATTTTTAACTTCTTTTAAATTACAAAACTGCCATTGATTTCTTAAAACAAACCCAACCCCAAAATATCATAAAAAAACACTCAAAACATTCAATAGGGTATTAAAGTAATTTAATAACTAAAATTAAATTCAATAGGATCAGCTGTTATTTTTGGGTTTTTTTTTATAGTTTATTTATATAAATTAAATGGTGTATGGTTTATTTATAGTTTTAGTGTTAAGAATGGGAATATAATTAAATATCTCAATATAAAATTAGTGGGAGGCCTGTTGGGACGTGAGCATCATCATCATGGCATCCTCTCTAAAGACTGTTGGAGCAGTATCGGTCTTATTTTTTTCCTTTAATGAAAAAAGAGGTTCGAGTCGTCCCTAAGTATTGAGTTCAGATCTGCTGTCCCTAAATTACCTGTCTCCTCCCTATATCCTATCTAAAATTTTGACACTTGTCTCTACCTTCAACAGTACACAAACACCGTCAACTCGCACAGAAAATATTGTAAAATATCAATAGGCGGCACAACGCTTCGTCTTCTCCCTCAACCATGGCAGTATGAGATTCTCCTCCCTCCAACCTCGCAGCGGAAGTAAAATCTGACACCCATCTCTCTTACCTTCAACCTCGCAGCGGAGAAATTTGGAACCACGGCATGACTGCTCCAGATCTGGCGAAAACCTTGCTATAAGGAACTCTTTGGGCGTGGGTTTCCGATATTCAAAAATTAACAAATAGATGTCAGGGAGGGTTTATTTATCCTCCGAACAATACAGAGAAGAGAAAAAAATATACTCTGAACTGGAATCTGTTGAAATTGTTATTATAATAAAATAGTGTCTTTAATCTTTTGAGAGGAAGTTGTGGTGAGATTTGGTTTTCCTTCGTCTTGCGATTTTGAAGAGAGAGAAAGTGATGGTGCCACTGCAACTGCCATATCTTCTATATGAGTTAACGGTGTCTGTGTACTGTTTAAGGTAGAGACGTGGGGACAGGGAGACAGAGACAGGGTATTTAGGGTATTTGGGGACAGCAGATCTTAACTCCTAAGTCTTGGTCATCTTTCTGATATACGCGTACCAAACGCGGTTAGTACCAATAGTCAGCTTTTTGTAAATTTCCTTTCAATAATATTCTGTACATTTATCACATGGTGTGACTTCCCAACAAAAAAATGTAACGTCAACTTTATTTTTTATTAAATTATTTTATTGGGTCTGATTGTTTAATTTTTGAAGAAATAATTGCTTGAAATCAAACTCTATATAATAACATCCAAAACTTGGTAATTTGAGAGTTGAGTGTTGACCCCGGTGAATGTTCCAAAAGACTAGGAAAGAGCAACAATGAACCGCCATTAGCTCCCAAGCCATGTAATTGTAATTCCCACCAGAATTTCGGATCCTCCTTGGTTGTTTTCCTGGTCCTTGTTCTTGTTCCTCCACTCAAGTCTTTCCTATTTTCGCTTACCCAATTGAACACAAAGCTATTCCATTTTCTTTTTGTCAAGTCCCCCACCTCACTAACTTTGATCCTTCTCAGAAATGGCACTGAAACTTACCTCTCTGAAAAATGCTTTATTCTACGCGCTTGCTTCTCATTTCTTGAACTTTGAAGCTACGCTAATACATATATAGTGCAACATCTATATATATGTGTTCTGTGAGGAGATTGTAATAAATTAACTAGTTTAGTAAAAAGGTGAAAGAAAGGTAATGATGGAGAGTTATTTGCAAGAGTTCGGGGAAGTGAAGGCCAAGCATTCGTCTGAAGAAACGTTACAGAAATGGAGGAACGGTGAAAGAAAGGCAATGATGGAGAGTTATTTGCAAGAGTTCGGGGAAGTGAAGGCCAAGCATTCGTCTGAAGAAACGTTACAGAAATGGAGGAACCTTTGCGGTGTTGTCAAGAACCCAAAACGAAGGTTTCGCTTCACTGCCAATCTTACCAAGCGTTGCGAGGCTGCTGCTATGCGCCGTACCAATCAGGTTTTTGTTTCTTATCTCTGCTGTGCCATTCTTCTTCTTATTAGAAGTGCCTTATCCTTATGTGCTGCCGGTGTATATTATATATTAATAATATGCTACGCAAGTAGGGGACTTATAACTCAAGTGGTTACGAACCCTTGTCTTTTTATCCGAGGAGGTTACTATATTCGAGTCTCCTTCCTTAATATCGCTTGTATAAATACACAAAAATAAAAATAATATGGTATGCTATTTTTTGAATAAAGAGAACAGAACAGGGCTGTTTGATTAGCTGTAGTACATACTCTGCATTGAAAGACTTGGGTTACTAAACAAATTATGAAACCGGAAGTATCAGTGCGATTACATAAGGAATGAGAAATATAGCATGCAAGCTCTATAAAAAAAGGTCAAACGCGTCTTGGTTGGAGATGCTGTGAACTTAATATTCTTGAAAAATAAAGCCAACCCAATTCTTTTTAATTTGCACACAAAAAAGGGTAGTTGACAGAATTGGATTTCGACCATTCAAATCAAATTGGTCAGTTTTCAGGTGGTGCAATTTTTATCATCTTCTTTGGTGGTCACATCATATGTTTGAATTTTGAATCCTCTGCCGCCATATTGACACAATTGACTGAATGTTGTGGAACTTCAAGATCATGTTCAACCTTATCTGTTATCTTGGAGAATTAACCTCTTAGTGCTTAATGCAATAATTTGTGATTAGAAATCACTATTGCCATTGGTTATTATGGGTGTCTTGCCGTAGTTCGGAGGGGTGCTATCAGTTCAAATTCTTTACTTTCACAATATGGGAAGACAGTACTGCCAATAATTTCAAAATCATCCTTTTATCTCATCTTTTCAATTTCCTTTTGCTCAAATTTTCGACCGGTACTAATGCCATAGTAGGTGACTGCTACATGGTGTTGTGCTTAGTATATAGACTTGGTGTTGGGAGAATGAGATATAAGTTGCCATGTGGGAACTTAGAATACACTTGGTGATAGGAGAACAGAAATTTGCAATACCGGGGTGTGTTTCGTCCTCAAGAGATGACGAAGATGCTCAGATTACAATTTTCAACTTCAAATTCTTTACTTATTTATTGATTACTTTGTGGTTTCAATTTTGCAGGAGAAATTGAGGATTGCTGTTTTGGTTTCTAAAGCTGCATTTCAATTTATTCAAGGTGAGTCTCTTTGGCATTAAGTTAAACATTATCATACATACTACAAGGTGGTTCATGCTTATTCTAAATTCCTAATGTCTGCAGGTGTGCAACCAAGTGACTACGTTGTACCTCAGGAAGTTACAGACGCAGGTTTTCAAATTTGTGCTGATGAATTGGGATCCATTGTTGAAGGCCATGAGGTAAAGAAGCTGACATTTCATGGTGGGGTAGCTGGTATTGCAGAAAAACTCTCCACATCAGTAAAAGATGGGCTTAATACCGAATCCGATTTGCATACCCGCAGACAAGAGATTTATGGAATTAACAAATTTACAGAGAGTGAACAACGGGGCTTTTGGATATTTGTTTGGGAAGCCCTTCAGGATATGACTCTTATGATCCTCGGAGTATGTGCTTTCGTGTCTTTGATAGTTGGGATAGCAACAGAAGGATGGCCTATTGGTGCCCATGATGGCCTTGGAATTGTTGCAAGTATCTTGTTGGTTGTGCTTGTCACAGCAACAAGTGATTATCGCCAATCGTTACAGTTCAAGGACTTGGACAAGGAGAAAAAGAAGATTATCATCCAAGTTACAAGAAATGGATACAGGCAGAAAATGTCCATTTATGATTTACTACCTGGTGATATTGTGCACCTTTCTATTGGTGACCAAGTGCCTGCAGATGGGCTATTTGTTTCAGGGTTTTCTGTGTTAATTGATGAATCAAGTTTAACTGGTGAGAGTGAGCCTATAATGGTAACTGCTGAAAACCCCTTTCTTCTTTCTGGTACTAAGGTCCAAGATGGATCTGGCAAGATGATGGTTACCACAGTTGGGATGAGAACCCAATGGGGTAAGTTGATGGCAACTCTGAGTGAAGGTGGAGATGATGAAACACCATTGCAGGTGAAGTTGAATGGAGTGGCAACCATTATTGGGAAGATAGGCCTTTTCTTCGCCGTTGTGACTTTTGCAGTAATGGTGCAAGGATTGTTTAGTCATAAACTGTCTGAGGGGACACACTGGAGCTGGACTGGAGATGATGCAAGGCAAATGTTAGAATTCTTTGCTGTTGCAGTTACAATTGTTGTTGTTGCTGTCCCAGAAGGGCTGCCACTGGCTGTGACATTGAGCCTTGCCTTTGCCATGAAGAAGATGATGAACGATAAAGCACTTGTTCGTCATCTGGCGGCTTGTGAGACTATGGGATCAGCCACAAATATTTGCAGTGACAAAACTGGGACACTCACAACCAACCGCATGACTGTTGTAAAATCATGCATTTGCATGAATGTCAAGGAGGTGAGCAAACCCAGTGAAGCATCTAGCTTGTTCTCTGATCTGCCAGAGTCTGCTAAGAAACTTTTGCTGCAATCAATATTTAATAACACTGGTGGAGACGTTGTGGTTAACAAAGAGGGAAAGCATGAGATAT